CTCGTACTTCGTTCAGTTACGTATTGCTGTTTTTCGCCACATCTGTCAGATATTTTTTTTCGATTGAAAACATTCAAAACTCCAATTACCGGACCATAACTAACAAAAAGATAAGCAATAGGAAAAATTAAAGACGATTCCCCAATTATAACTCTGTTTAGTTAATTGGCTTGTTTTTTAGCCACATTTAACTCTCTTTAACTTTTTATTTTTAACTAGAATACTCATTAAAAACAAATTATATAGATTAATTTTAAGCAATTTTTAATGTTACACGTAGTACAAAAAACAGGCAAAATATATGGCAAACTATAAAAAAAATATATGGGAAAATAATGAAGTGGCTTTGATAAAAATTTACTGTTGAAAAGACTAATTATAATATAATACAGCAAATATTTGCGAAACAATAAGTAAGTGGTCTTAATTTTTTTATTTCAAATGATTATTAAATGACTAAGATACCTACTTAAATTTGATTGTTGGGCTTATTATTTTAAGTGTCCCACTCAAGAATGACGCTCGGCTGTATCTCAGTAATCGTAGTATATATTTATAACTAAAGAGGCTATGAAGAAAATTGAGTTTTTACAAAATTTTGCCTAGATAATGGGTAATATAAATAATAGCTTCATAATCTTCAGAAAATTTTGAATATTTTTTGTTAGAACCATTTTCCCCTACCTACCAAAATAAAATGGTGGGGGAAAGTTTGATCTGTTTTTATTTAAGTAGTAATAACTTCGGACTGGATAAATGGAATCCAACAAGCTAGGGCTCGTTTAAAAGAGCGTTTCTTACTCTATATTATACCGTATAAACGATAATAATAAGCTTTTGAATGTAGATGCTTGGGGGCGCGTTCTTTCAAAAAACTTAAATGCGATAGTATATGCAATTGTAGCTGATGCTAAAGAGTAATAAAAGCTTAAAAAGTCAGCGAAAACCGCATCTTGATATCCTCTTACAAACCAAAGATATTAGCAAAATTATAATAAATACTAAAAAATAAGCCCTTAATTACCTTATTTTTATAACACGGTTACAGTGGCCCTCTTGATTATGATCATTCTAATAAAAAATAAGATAGAAACGATTAGTTTATTCTAAAATCGACAATATACCAGAATACCATAATACTAGGTGTATTAATATCTAATAATTAAGATATCAATGACAATGAATAAGAAACGGCGCCTCAGTGAAGTCATATAAGATATAAGAAGTTAAGAATATAAGATATAAGAAGTTATATAAGTCAATAAAAACAGATCGAACCTTCCTCCACCACTTTATTTTAGCAGATAGGGGAAAATGGTTCTAACAAAAAATATTCAACATTTTCTGAAGATTATGAAGCAATGAAGCAAGTTTATAGTACTAGTTATCTAGGCAAAATTGTGTAAAAACTCCATTTTCTTATTTTATATAGTCCTCTAGCGGCCGTTCTACAGACTTGAAAATAATTTCCAGCAATTTCTCATAGTCTCTTTAGTTATAAATATTTTTTTTGCGGAAGCTCTACGACTAATACTTTCCGAGATACAGCCGAGAGCTATTCTTAGTGGGACGCCCTGTACAGATGTATGCACTAGAGGGTGTCCCACTAAGAATAGATCTCGGCTGTATCTCGCGAAAAAATATTTATAACTAAAGAGGCTGTGAGAAACTGCTGGATATTATTTTCACTCAGATGACGTCGTTTAAAATTGGTTTTAACCTAAAATCAGTATTATCTTATAGTGACCTAAGCCATCCCAAAATACTTGAGCCCCCTAAAAAGCTGAATCTAGTTGCGCCCCTGCTGATAATAAAGAGTAATAAAAGCTTAAAAAGTCAGTGGACACTGCATCTTGATATTTTTTTTTCAAACAAAAGTAACAATAAATAATTATATTTACTTTAATAGGACATAAGTACATAATATATTAATCGTTATTTCCAAGATCACCGTAGCACCGTTTTTTTCTATCATATTGTAACTGTTTTAATTAAATTTCACAGATATTAACACGGTACATAAAATTCAAGTCATATTTAAACTATTATGAAGATAATTATTATACTTCATTTTTTTATTTTCTTTTTATTTGAAATGTTAAATTATTTCAAGCAATGTTCAGCTTTCATGGCAGTTTTTGTTTCAGTTATGAAAGTTATTATATTTCTTTTGAAAAGCGTTAAAAGCTTAAATAACTCGCTGCTTTTTGGCATGTTTCTCGCCTTCGGTATCTACCTAGAGCTTTTAGACTAAGTATGCATCTTTAATAGTGGAAAGTGCACCAAGTTATTATCTTTGCTTGGCGGCAGCGGGGGATACGAACAGATGGGCTCCAAGATATAATTATGTATGCAGGGCGCTGAATAAAGGCCGTAATATAATGAAAAGCAGTATTAATCATGAATGGGGACGAGATAATAGGGCTGGCGTAAAAACAGCCGGTTAATTTATGAAAGTGAAGCATATGTTACGCTAGAGAAAATGTAATATAAAAGGAAATAGTTTTACTGAAAACGAGTGTTTAATTATATACATGCACAGGGTGCCCCATTTTCATGTGTTTAATGGGTTTCTCGTGTATGATAGAAATACAAAGATGCGGTTTTCTGTACTTCTCTTTGAAACTAAAGTTTCTATACACATATTTATTCTAGCCTCCTTGGATAGGAAAATAAATCTTATTTTTACGTAATTTTTCTTGCGTAAAAATAAGATTTATTTTTCATGTCAACATATGTCCGATTCTGCTTTGTTTCGTAGCTAGGTGTTAGTCTTCATTTTTTTTTCGATTTATTTTAATTTTCTTCCAAGTACTTTTAGCGATTCGAATGAAATTTTGAGGTAAAAGTGCTATATATTTTAACGCTAAAAAACACGACAGTTTTACCAGGGACATGCATATGTTTCATGGCTGGTGAAACCCGCCTCCAGTATTCAAAATAAAGTCTTTTGGTGTAATGTGGCGAATTAGAGTTTTATTTTGCCAAGAAAGTAATTATTTATTATCATATTTTATTGTGAAATAAAATTTTGTTTTATGATTATGACTGAGTGTAGACACTGAAATATAAATTCCCAAGAAACTACTATTTGTAATTAATGATATGTTAAAATAACATATTTGTGTGTGTGTGTGTGAATATTACCATATTTTTATTTAAATTTATTATTATTCGATTGTTTACAGTAAATATACCATACGACTGAAAATAGATCCAGGTTGACTAGGAAATGATGATCGCTGTTGTTAAATAGTAGTAGGTAAATCTCATCAGCTGTTATTTCCTACCCAACTTGAGGCCTTTATTTTTGATCATTCGCTTCACTTAAATTCTTGCTAAAGTTATGGGTTTTAAAAAGATTAAAGTATCACATGTTTCAAGGCAGTATGTACAGGGACATCATTTTAAGTGTCTCACTCGATTTATAATTTTCCTGTTTGGTATTTAAAGATAGTAGAAAGATTTCCTAATGTAATTTTTCGCGAGGATGCCGATTTTCTACATTAAAATTTTTTACAACGTCAATTTTGACAGATACGACGCCATCTTGATTTTTTTTAAATGCAAACCCCCACATATTTTAGCATGGTCCGGTAGACATATTTTAGCTAATTTCAAAAATATATAGTTTAGTATACTTTGCTCTTACCGTTTTCGAATACAGTGTATTTAAAAATGAATTGTTCCAGAATCATTTTAAGTGTCTCACCCAATTTAAACTTTTCCTCTTCTCTTTTTAAGACAGTAAAAGATATTTCAATGTAAATTTTTCGCGAGGATGCCGAATTTCTACATTAAAATTTTTACAACGTCAATTTTGACAGATACGGCGCCATCTTGATTTTTTTTAAATAGAAACCCTATCATATTTTAGCATGGTCCGGCAGACATATTTTAGCTAATTTCAAAAATATATAGTTTAGTATACTTTGCATTTACCGTTTTCGATATACAGTGTATTTAAAAATGAATTGTTCTAGAATCATTTTAAGTGTCTCACCCAATTTAAACTTTTCTTTTTCTCTATTTTAAGAGAGTAAAAAGATATTTCAATGTAAATTTTCGCGAGGATGCCGAATCTCTAC